CAACTTTTTACTACGGTTTTGCGTGAAAATAGTCTAGGTAATCAGCGTGTGGAAAATAGAAGTTCTCTTTGTTCAGTACATACATACATACATAAACACTCACGCCTGTCACCCAGAGGGGTAGGCAGAGACTACGGACTTCCATTTGGCACGATCCTGACATACCTCTTTCGCCTCCTTTACATCCATATATCTACGCATACATGCTCGTCGGTTAAGGGTACTTCTAACGTGGCCCATTTTCAAAATATCGCCAATTTGGTCGATAAACTTTTTCCTAGGGCGTCCCTTCCCGACTCGGCCATTCACATCTGCCATATAAATTTGCTTTGTCACTCTTTCCTCATTCATTCTTTCTACGTGACCAAACCACCGAAGCATTCCTTTCTTAATCCTGGTCACAACATCATCTTGCATACCACATTTATCTCTTATCACGCAATTTCTCACCCTGTCATTCAGATTACACCCTAGCATATTCCTTAAAGACCGCATTTCTACAGCATTTATTTTACTTTCGTGCTTCTTCTGCCACACCCAGCTTTCACTACCATACATTAAAGTAGGGACTAACACAGCATTATGTATTACCATACGTGCCTGTTTTGACAAATTCTGGTTCTTCATAATAGAGTGTAGTGCCCCATTCACTCTATTCCCTGCATTTACTCGTCGTTCTATATCCCTATCATATCTACCATCCCTGCTAAATACACATCCCAAATACACAAACTCATCCACTTGCTCAATCAACTCTCCTTCTATTCTTATTTCACATACCGTTTTGCTTTCTTCTCTTTCAAAAACCATCACTTTCGTCTTACTTGCGTTCACTTTCATTCCCCTTTCTTTTAATTCCCAGTTCATTAATGTAACCATCATTTGCAACTCTGCCGCCGATGACGCAAGTATGACTTGATCATCGGCATACAAAAGGCATTTGACGGTTAACTCGCCCATTCTTAACCCACATTCTTCATCTTTCAAAGTTTGCAAACACCGGTCCATAAATAGGTTGAACAGCCAAGGGGAAGCCACACAGCCCCGTCTGACACCTTTTTGGATGCCAAACCAGTCCGAGTAGACCCCATTGATCCTGACACAAGCACTAGAGTCCCTATAAAGAGACCTTAATGCCTGTATCAAACCAGCGCTCAACCCATATGAGTTCAGTGTTTGCCATAACACATTCCTGTCCACTCTGTCATAAGCCTTTTCCAAGTCCATGAACGCACAAAAAACTTTCTGGTTTTTGGCCAAAAACTTCTCCGCAATCATGCGCATGGAAAAGACTTGATCTGTACACCCCATTCCCTTTCTAAAACCCGCTTGCACATCCCAAATTTTTCCATCAGTTTCTTTCATAACTCTTTCAATTAACACCTTAGCATACAGTTTACCCACAATACTAAGCAAGCTGATACCGCGGTAGTTTTTGCAGTCCTGCTGTGACCCTTTTCCTTTATATATTGGTACTATAACTGCTTTACACCAGTCATCCAGTACCCGTTTTAATTCCCAACATAAATTAAACAAGGTGTACAGCAGGCCTGCCACCACTCCCTCTCCAGCCCTTAGCATCTCGAGTGATACTCTATCATATCCAGCTGCCTTACCTGCTTTCATGCTTTTCATTGCTTTCATTATTTCATCTACACTTATCTCCATACCCCTTTCCACTTCTTTCGGAATTTCTAGTTCATTTAATTCATACGACTCTTCACTCATAAACACGCTTTCAAAGTATTCTTTCCATCTGTTTAAATTCGAAACTTCATCATTTAGAATACATCCATTCTCGTCTCTTATAGCATTTATTATAGGCTGTTTTGTATTTCCCCCTGGCAGTTCTTACGAGTTTCCAGAACATTTTTATGTTAGCCTGGAAATTATCAGATATCCTTCTATCATTCTTATCCGTTCTTTCTTTCTTTTTCCTTTCAACAACTTCTTTTACTCTCTTATTTAGACGTCTAAATTCTGCCTTTTTTCTTTCAATCTCATCATTCATACCAGAAGAATTATCAGCTTTGGTTGCTAGTAAATCTAACCATGCTTTCTTCTTTGATTCAACTTCCACCCGTACCTCATCATCCCACCATAACGTATTACTTTTCCTTTCATTTGTTCTCTTACTTACACCGCATACTTCGGTGGCGGTATCCACTAAACCTTTCTTAATATTATCCCACACAGTATTCAAGTCTAAATCATTCATACACAACTCATTCAAACATCTAATATTTTCTCTCAGTCTACATTTATACTTCTCTATCACATCTTCATCTTGTAACTTCTCTATTCTTATACGCTGTAACGCAGTGGTAGATACAGATGTCCGATGCCGCCAACGCTTGAAAAGACCATTAATTCGACATAAGACCAAGTAATGATCCGTCCCTACGTTGGACCCCCGGTAAACCCTTGTATCTACGACTGCGCTCCTCATTCTTTCATCCACAATTACGAAATCTATCATGCTTCTATCATCACCTCTTTCCCATGTATACATGTGAATCTTCTTATGACGAAAAAAAGTATTCGTCACAAAAAGATTCTTTTTCCGCACATACGGTGAGGAGGTCTTCACCATTCTCATTTATACTTTCATCACCAAACGTTCCCAATATCCTTTCATAACCAGACCTCTTCACCCCAACCCTTCCATTAAAGTCTCCTAACATAATAATATTTTCATTTTCCTTACATTTTGTCAACACCATCCTTACCATGTCCCAAAACTGCTCTCGGATGTAAGTGGGCTTAGACATGTCTGGGGCGTACACCCCTAGCAGGAACAGTTTCTTTAAGCCCACTTTCATTCGTATCCATAGCAGTCTTGGGCTTACACATTCATACTCTTTCACACATTGACCCATTCTTTCTGAAAGGATGAAACCGACTCCCTGGCATGCCCGTTCGGTCTCGCCTACACCAGACCAATACGCGGTATACGTGCCATGTGCAGTGGCATCCTTTCCCTTTCGTTTCGTCTCATTCACACATAACACATCTATTCCTCTGTCATTCATCATTTCGCATACTTCATCCATCTTATCATTCATTCCTCCACATACATTCAGCGTAGCCAGACGGGTTTCCGCAATCCACTTTTCGCCCCTCCGGGAGACAGAACGTGACGGGTGGCGAACCTCGTCGCCGGTTTTTTCAGTATTTGGGAAATATTGACTATAATGTAACAAAGGTCTTCAGAATGTATGACTGTCTAGAGATAGAAGTTTTTATTGTTTTTTTTTTTATGCGTACTAATGAAGTACCAGTTAAAGGAAAACTGGTGGTAAAGCCCCGCCGCAGCTATTTTATGGCTGTCGCAGAATACTAGCGTAAAATAGCAGCTTCATGCTGCTGCGTTTCGTACGGTGAGTGTAAAGAAACGGAGATCCGTTTAACTAGAATTGAGGCATTCCATCGTAGTTCTCAGAAGTGACGACATACTTGTTTTTTTTTTTTTTAAATTATTACTAAGACATTTTGATTATTATTCAAGAATAGATGTAGTTTTCTACCACAGTATCCACACAAGATTCCGTGGACGGTACTCTTGGAGTATCATTTTTATTCTTTATGAATAAAACACGAGATTGTTGAGACAAATGCGCTTTCCTGCCCTCTTATTTACTTACGTCGCTAAATAGCAGTGCGCTCGTTTCTGGGTTCCGGTGTGAATGACCATGCTCCGCAGAAATGATCCTACCCAAAAAAATAGCAAAAAATGGTCTAGAAGCTCTCTTTTCAATTTATTTCCAAAGATTCAATTTTTTTAAAATGATATACATGTGATTTATAAGACTTCTGGAGCCACATGAAAAATACATTTATATTTCAAATCTGTATATCCGTACTTTCCTTTCACTTTATTATAAACTTTTATTTTTATTTAATTTAAACGTTTTATTATAACTTTCCATTTTTGTGTGTTTTTGTTTAACGTGGTCAAATTAAGAACCCCCTCTTTTGAAGTCGAAATATTGTGTTGTGATGTGTGACTTATCAACTGTTGAATTGTCCACACAGCTCAACTGATGGTAAGTGAATGGTCCATAGAAATCTACATCTATCCTCGATTTACAATCAGAACTCAAATGCGTTGTCATCACAGAAGATTAAGATAGAATGCTTCGTATCCAGTGAAAATGGTCTCCGGTTCTCTAAAGTTACCATACAAAACACAGCGGCATAGAGCTGCTATTTTAGGCTGATTTTCTGAGAAAGCGTGGCTCGTGCTACAATCATAATGTAGTTACAGCATGGCTCTACCATGTATAAAGGTAGTTTATAATGCCTACGTGCGCAACATATTAGAATAATATACGAATCCTGCGTTATCTTCATGCGTTATCATTGACAAGAGTCGCATCAAACATATGCGGAAAATAAATGAGGAACCATAGTATCAAAATTTTAAAATCGACTGTTTTTCGCTAAGCATTGTGGGTATTTTTATCTTATGTGTCGGAGAGATCGAAGAACAATAATTGACAAATATTTCTTTTATTCTACGTACTGCGTGACTGATTTAAAATCCCAAAAATTACACATCAACAATAATATTTACAGGGATCGAACCCAGGTTGCCCCGAAACTGCTACAGTTTTTTTGTTATTTTTTTTTATATAGGATAGGCTGACAAACGAGCACACAGTCCACCTGATGGTAAGTGGTTGCTGCGGCCCATAGACATCTACATCTATCTTCCATTACAAATCAAAATGCAGATGCGTTGTCACCCGTGAGGACTAAGATGGAATGCCTCATTTCCAGTAAAAAGGGTCTCCGGTTCTCTACACTCACCATACGAAATACAGCAGCATTAAGCTACTATTTCACGCTGGTATTTTGTGAGAGCGTGGTCCTTCCCCGGTCGAGCCGACCCATTCGTGCTACAACTATACTACTAATATAATTGCAGCATGGCTCTACCACGTAAAAAATATATTATTTTTTATCCTAATATCCGGCACAATTCCCTATTATTACAGAAGCAGGATGTCACCGGCAGCGTCGTTTGCCAAACGATGGGCCTACGATAACCTGACCAGGGAGCCCACCCCGGACGAACTAACCGTTTTGGAATTGTTCCCTATTACTTGTGAGGGAGATGAAGAAGAAGCAGCGAAACGAGCGCGGCGATATTACAAAGCTCGAGGACCTGGTGGCTTGACGGAACTGTGGCACAAAAGATATCCTGATGATGAGGATATACTGTCGAGTTGTCAAGATGCGTGAGTTCACATATACTTCATTACCTACTCATTATCACTTTCACTACATCCCATTGCAATTCCATTGCTAAATTTACACTTACGCAATAGATTGCTTGTATTTTATTTGTATACCAAGTATGTATATTTATATTGCACTACCTATTTTGTATCTGTAGCTTTAATCCTTTACGCCTTTGGTTGAATGAAAGAGATCTTTATTTATAGAATGAGTGTGACAAACGAACACACAGTCCGCCTGATGGTAAGTAAATGCGATAGCCCATAGACATTTATCTTCAATTAAGAATCAAAACGCAGACGCGTTATCATCCCTGAGAACTGAGATGGAATGCCTCGTTTCCAGTTAAAAGGATCCCCGGTTCTCTACACTCACAATTCGAAACACAGCAGTATTAAGCTGCTATTTTACGCTTGTATTCTGTGAGGACGTGATCCAACCCCGGTTGAACTAACCCATTTGTGCTGGAACCACAATACAGCTGCTGCATGGCTCTTTCATGTAACGAAAGCATATAAAGAAGAAAAGAATATAAGGAGATCACTATATAACAATAAGGCCGTCCAATTGAATACTTTATTTGCTTTCGATGTCTTCTGTATTGGTTTATTTTGTGTTAATCAATAAAAGTAGTCGGAAGGGACGCCCTAGGCGAAAGTTTATCGACTGAATTGGCGACATATTGGAAATTAGCCAAATTAAGACGAACCTTAACCGACGAGTTTGTATACGTAGGTATATGTATGTGGAGGAGGCGAAAGAGAGGTGTTTCAGGATCGTGCCAAATGAAAGTCCGTAGTCTCTGTCTAACCCTCTGAGTGACAGGCGTTAGTGTTTATGTATCTTATATTACCGAATAAAAGTTCAAAATATCATTCATTCAACAATTCGTTCATTTATTGCCATATAGTAGAGTCATAAGCCACTTGCATCCATCGAGTACCTGCGAGGAATGTTGTCAGTTCATTGACTTACGAAACCCAAACGTGATATTCCATTGCTAGCTATTAGAGAAAGCTCAAAGTCACTCAGCGTGCGATTATAAGGATTATGTTTAGAATTTAATGAGGATATCCACAAAAGAATAGGAGTATATTACAAAGCCAAGTGGATCATTAAGCTTAAGTGGCAAAGACCCAGCAATATAGCACGAAGATCCGACAACCGATGTGAAAGAAATGTTCTCTACGAATGTCAGACGGATTGACAATGACAGTACTAGAAGTTTTAGCACCTTTGATGTTGCTTTCTATTGTCGGATTAAGTATTTTACTTCTAGCGAAAACATAATGACTTACCGCGATCTATGAATACCGTACGGGATCTTTCTGGGATTTAACGACGCCGACGGGAGATAACGGGGTGATGGTTTTCCTTAACATCAGTCTTAAAAATTTGGATTCAGCTTTATTTGTTTGCCATTCCACCATCAGCTGGGTTGCTTTTGAGGGTGATTTATTCCGCAAACATTGTTTAGATAGATACTGGCCAGCAAATAATTCAGCTAAACCAATAAGCCAATTAAAATAAAAACCAATAAATTATTATTAGTTTAAATCTAGGGCTCCACCATCGCTTCCCTTATAATAAGTAAAAAAATAATTATATCTTTAAAGAATACGAATAGCAGCATAATAAACAATGAGGCATCTCACCTTAGCGCTCACAGCTTACAACACGTCACAAGCACCTATACCTAGCTTTAAAATAATATTGCAATCATTTTACTGATAGGAACATTGAAATAAACTAAATGACTGCTGAGTCACGAAACTCGCCTTCGAACTCCAGTTGACGTCATCATTTAGCATTTTTGTTAAGCACATTACATTGTTCACAGTTGGGAATATCTCTCATAAGTTAAAAGCGTTTTTGTAATCGCAACGGCAAGCAGATAGCGTGATGTACTTAGTTACACTTTAAACGCTTGTTCTCGTTACCCAATAATGCTTACGATATCCATGAAATTATTAAACGCTTTAGTTCTATTACAATACCACCAGACAGATTAATTCGAAGTCCGAAATATATTAGGCTAAATCAAAATTTCGCCATGATACTAATCGAAATGGCGAAATTTTGGTCGTCCTTATTGTATGGACTCCTATAATAAAAAATATAGGCATTCTATTCTACCTCGATACTAAGAAATGACTTAGCCTTGGTAGCTCAGATGGTTAACACTCGCTGTAAATATAACCCGGGTTCGATCCCCGCCGGCACCAATGAAATTGTTAATTACAATTTTAAGTGCTGATTTACCAAGTGCTCGGCGGCGAAGGAAAACATCGTGAGGAAGCCTGCATGTCTTAGGAATAAGAAAAAAAATTATTTCGAAGACATGTGAAGTTCGCCAACACGCATTAGGGCAGCGCGGCGGACACTTCCTTGCCCTAAAACCCTCTCAGAAATGAGGGGAGGCCTGTGCCCAGCAGTGGGACTTATATAGGCTGTAACTTTACTTTTACTTTTTTTACTAAGAAATGGTAACATACCGGTTGTGTTTTAGTTATGATTACAGTTGGGGAAGGGCAATTAATTGACTTGACTGTTGACCATAATAAGTGCCATAAAGAATGGGGTATTACACCCATTTTCAAAAATTGTTTTAAATGAATCCTAGAGTCATAATGAGGCACTATAATTTTTATATGATTTTTTTAAAACCGACTAGTGCAAAAAATACTTAATCTATCGTTTTTAATTTTCGCTTGAAAACGCTAGCCGCCACGCTGTTCTGTGATGTCACTGTCCTAGAATTTTACTGATTTTGCAAAGGAAAGAGATACTTTTTAATGTTTAGTAATGAGTTATCATCTATATCATTGTTGTGTTAATACAATTAATATTACTTAATACAAAAATACGAGCATAAGTCACCGGAAAGCTATGGATTCAAGTGCTAACTGATTTAAATATAAGAAATACTTGGTTAAAACTAGTAAGAAGATTCCCGAATACATTGTCTACAAAAACAGACTACTTTTCTGTGAAGATCATTTTGATGTAAGTATGACTTATACTTAACTATCGTTTATACAAAACAAAACATCACAGATCATAGAAACAATTCTATAATCTGTGATAACTAATGATTGCTAATGATTGTAATTATTGACAAACTAAACTATGATAGCTACTACACTATGTTTTATCAAAATACACTCTAACCTGGTATTGTGTTTTTGTATACCTAAACAAAAGTTAGTATTAGGTACTTACATTGATGTTTTAACTCACCAAAACAAAAATTGGGATTGCATGCAAAACAATTTGCAACCATCAATTTATTTATTCTTGATAGATTAGTACATTCTGCTTTTATGAATTCGGCTTCCATGATGCCTTTACAATAAAATTCGGAATAAAACTCAATAATCGTAATAATAACTTGAAACATTTCGAAATAATACAGCACATTAGCTACATCTTTTAATCAGTGACACTGAACACTAATACCCTTAGGTGGGATCAGGTGAGATCACGACATTCTCTAATATGGCGGACAGCGTTTTGCAGATTTGAGGCAAACCCAAATAATTTTTTTTTAAATTGAATATTTAATTTACAATGCAATTTTATAAATATAAATCAACATTTCTCGTTTACTTTTTACAAAATCTATCATAAATATATGTTTTTGATTTTTTTACATGGTGTAAAACACCCTATTATATCATGAGTGTCTTTATATTTTCCAAACAACTGGCAGATGTTTTAAACGGCTTGTCAAAAACCTAACTTTAGTTATAGATGCAAACTTTGTCTTCATGTATCTTAAAATCTGTGGCCTAATTTTTAACAAAATTAATACAATCTATGTCAACTTTCAGATATGTCGTTCCACTACGAGTCCGTAGTGTTGGTGGTCGCCGCATGACGCTGGTCCGACTTCCAGCTCCCACAGCTTTAGACAGACCATTGTCTGCCCGAGCATTACTGGCGCGATGGCTGATGATCTTGGATATCAGGTAAATATGTGTTTGTTATTTAAAAATTTTAAATTTATACATATTTTTACGCGCCTAAGTTGACGTCATATAGTGTCAGTGACGAGAGCGGGGGGAGCTTTCCAGAAAATGACATCACTAATCTTTCAACCGACAGCGCCATCTGGTGTCGAAACGAAGAACTAAGCTTCTAGAAGCCGACACTCGAACTTTCGACGCCTTGCGCGTATTTACTTGAATGTTCTGGATGTTTCGGTGCTAATGTGTATTTATAGGCGCTGCAAGGTGCGATCGAGGAAGTATTGAATTTGGCGAGAGAAGCGAAGCTTCGGAGCGGAACAAAGTAAATCAGTGTGATTAATTATTAGTGTTTTAAGTTTAATTAGTGTAAAGTGAATTAAAGAATTATTTTGGTAATTCTATCGGCAATTTTTAATTGTCACGAACCTCAAGCTCGTAACAATTGGTATCAGAAGTGGGATAAAATCATGCCGATTTTACCTAAGGAAGAAACCGAGGGTGTCCGTATCCGAAGTCAATGCCAGCAGGAGACGGACCAAAGAAGATTTGGTGGTGCAACGCCGCAGACGTCGGAGGGCCAGCCGCCAGCTGCAGGCCCGTCAGTAGCTCCTACATCTGCAGCACCTGACTTAGGTGCTCTGAAGTTGATGCTGCTAGACAGAGCAGGCTCGCCGACAGGAGGAGCAGGCCCGTTGGTTGAAAGAGCAGCAGGAGGAACAGGCTCGCCGACAGGAGGAACAGGGTCGCCGACAGGAGGAACAGGCCCGTCGTTTGGAAGAGCAGCTGCAGGGCGGACAAGAGGAACAGGGCCGTCGGTTGGAAGAGCAGATGCTCCTCACAAAGGACCTTCACGCTACCTTCGGGAAGGAGACCAAGGAGGTGAAGGATAGGGTTGCTCAGCATGACAACCGCCTGTCAGAAGCTGAAATCCAAATCGCGAAAGCTGAATACCCGAATCGAGAAAGCTGAAACCCGAATCAACCAAGTGAACAATCGGGTTGACAACGTAATGGCTGACGTGAAGAAAACGCTGGACGACCTCAAACTTGAGGATGGAACAACAGCTCCCGTAGTAGCTACAACACCTTGCACGTGGGTTCAAAGTGCCACCGTTCGACGGGACTTCTTCCTGGTCAGCTTACAAAATCCAGTTTGAAGCCGTTATGAAGGCGAACGGCTGGAATAAAAGTCGGGCCATGACTCTCTCACACTAGGCCTGCGCGATCAGGCCTTAACTGTTAAGCTCTAGGTGAGGAAGTGACTTATGAGCAGCTCCTTGAGACATTGAAGGCGAGATATGGTGACGCTCACCTGGAACACGTCTTTCGAGCGCAGCTTAAAGATCGCGTGCAGCGCATCAACTAAAACCTGCGGCAGTGGGCTCTAGAGGTGGAGAAGCTGGTGTGAAAAGCATACCGGTCTGTACCTGCGCTCATTGAAGGGAACCTGGTGCAGACATACATCGACGGCATCCGCGACCTTGAAGTCAGAGCTGCTGTAAGGCTCGGGCACCACGAGACGCTTAAGGACGCCTTGGCCTATGCACTGGAGGTTGAAGTCGTGCGGCAGAATCTTCGTTCCCATCGCGTTAGGGAGGTTGCAGCAGCTACAGTTCGCGACCGCAATAATGGATACAGCCCTAGGTGCTATGGCTGTGGGGAAAGGGGTGATCTTAGATCCAGCTGCCCTAAGCGAACTATAGAAAAGGAAGTTGATCGATCTCGAGAGGGTAGTGCAGCTAACGGCACCACCTGGCAGCGGCAGCATCATCATTCCCCTCACGCTAGGGAGGTTGCATCAGTTACGGTTCGCGACCACAATAAAGGATACAGCCCTAGGTGCTATGGCTGTGGGGAAAGGGGCCATCTTCGATCCAGCTGCCCTAAGCGAACCCTAGAAAGGGAAGGTGAACGATCTCAGAAGAGAAGTGCGGCTAACATCACCGCCCAGCAGCAGCCGGGATACGACTTTACTATCAGACATCGCAGCGGGAAATCTCATGACAACGCAGATGCATTGTCAAGAAGACCTTGTCCTGAAGATTGGAAACATTGTACTAAGCAAGAGAGTAAGGAAGTGGTATCCGTGAGGATGCTCAGGACAGACCACCTCAGCAACGAGTGGAAGGACAGCCTACGACATGCACAGCAGGAAGATCCGGACATCATGTCGATTCTGGAATGGATGAAGGCCAGTGCTCCCAAGCCCAAGTGGAGCGACGCCTCCGATGAGTTCGACCATTAAAAGCTATTGGCCCCAGTGGGACAGCTTGCAGCTTCAGGATGGAGTTCTGTGCCGCAATTGAAAATGCTAAAGTACCGGATGTTCTACAGCTGTACCATAATGATTGTTCAGGAGGCCATCTGGGAGTTAAACGAACTCTACTGAAGATCCGTGAACGGTTTTACTGAGTCCAATGTCGAAACAACGTCGAGGACTGATTTCGCAAATGTACAAGTTGTGCGGCTGTAAAGGGACCTCAGACTCGTAGTAGAGGTGCGTTGAAGTTGTACAATGTTGGTGCACCATGGGAGAGAATAGCCATTGACGTGGCGGGGCCGTTTTCCGAGAGTGAAAGCGGTAACAAGTATTTCATGGTTGTGATGGATTACTTCACTAAGTGGCCAGAAGTCTTCGCCATTCCAAATCAAGAAGCTTCAACAGTTGCAGATACACTAGTTCATGAATTCTTCTGTCGTTTTGGAGTATCTTTAGAGATTCACAGCGATCATGGAAGGAATTTTGAGTCTCAAATATTCCAGGAAACTTGCCGAGTTATGGGTACTCATAAAGCAAGAACGACTTCTTATCACCCGCAATCTGATGGAATGGTCGAACGATTTAATCAGACATTGGAGAGGTACCTAGCAAAAGTTGTAGACAATCGTCAACGAGATTGGGACAAGCACATACAACCGTTTTTGTTGTCATATCGAAGCGCTGTTCACGTAAGTACAGCAGTGACACCAGCTTTCGCAAACTTTGGAAGAGAATTACGGCTTTCTGCAGACCTGATCAACGGGATACTACCTGATGCCCCACGCAGTATAACCGATTATGCAAATGACTTGCGGAATAAATTGAATGACATTTATGAGCACGTCAGACAATCGGGCCAGCAAATGTCTGAGAAGATGAAAACCCGGTATGACCGCAAAATGAACAATAAAGGGTTCGACGAAGGTTCACTAGTGTGGTTGCACAATCCAGTCCGCAGCAAAGGGAAATCTCCTAAGCTTCAAGCTAAAAGGGACGGCCCGTACCGGATTGTAACCAGGATCAACGATGTAACCTACCGGATACAGAAAGGCGCAAGAGGGACTCCTAAGATCGTCCATGTGGATCCCTTGGCGCATTATTATGGGGCCGATAATGCTGGGGACTAGCATGTCTTAGGAGGGGGCAGTGTTGCGCGCCTAAGTTGACGTCATGTAGTGTCAGGGACCAGAGCGGGGGGGCAGCTTTCCAGAAAATGACATCACTAATCTTTCAACCGACAGCGCCATCTGGTGTCGAAACGAAGAACTAAGCTTCTAGAAGCCGACACTCGAACTTTCGACGCCTTGCGCGTATTTACTTGAATGTTCTGGATGTTTCGGTGCTAATGTGTATTTATAGGCGCTGCAAGGTGCGATCGGGGAAGTATTGAATTTGGCGAGACAAACAAAGCTTCGGAGCGGAACAAAGGGAATCAGTGTGATTAATTATTAGTGTTTTAACCGCACACCAAAAACCCTGGGCCCCCGAACCCCCCCACAAAACCCGCAGCTTCTAACCACCACCACCTCCCACAAAAAAACCCCCACCCCCCCCCCCCCCCCCCCCCCCACCCCCCCCCCCAACCCCCACCCCCTCCCCACCCACCAACAACAAAGCCAAAAAAAACCCAAACCCCCAACACAAAAACAACACACCCACTTTAATTAGTGTAAAGTGAATTAAAGAGTTAATTTTGGTAATTCTATCGGCAATTTTTATTGTCACGAACCTCAAGCTCGTAACAATATCATAAAACCTTTGGTGATTTTTGTCTGTGTGTTGTGTGTTGCACGCCAATATCCACAACCAATTCGATGTACCTATTTTTAGTATTGAATCAAGATGGACTTGGAACATTTCGTGTTTCTTTTTATTTTGATCGGTATGCGATTAAAATAGATGGGTCAATTTCAAAGTGCACAATGCGCGCGCTCGACGAAACATGCACACAAGTTGGAAGAAAAAGCATTGCACGCCGGCTTCATCGGCGTACGCTGATCAAATGATTAGACATACTTACGTTTTGAAATCGTTTGGTCTTGTAATTCGATATAGCGTAATTAATTGCATTTTTAACAAATCAAAAGGAAAAAGGAGGGTGTTTATATATAAAACTATATAAACACCCTCCTTTTTCCTTTTGATAGTTTTATTGGTTGGTGATTGTTGTGACCGATCGGAAATTTTTAAAAACTGCAGTTTCCATTCTGCTTATGTTACTTTATGACCATAAACAAAGCGCAGTGTCACACGCCGAGAGTGGCTGATGTTCATCAGTTACAGCGATTATTCGCACGATTTTGTGAGTCCGTCGTATATAATTAACAAAAGAAATTTGTATGCGTTATTCCCCGATGACTATAAGTTATTAATTCTATATAGGGCATTATTGTAAGGCATAATAACAATTATAACGATGGTATAAATTAGTCCTCGATCTTAGAGAGATGATCAAACATTACCAGACCTTAAGCGATTGTTAAATATTATACAATTGTCTTTTGCAATAGTGGAACCCTGACCACCGTGCAACGTCCATCAACTTTGTTGAATCTTTTGTCTCTTTTCTTCCGTCAGCGTTGGCCTGTGTACGTTTAACCTACATCTAATTTACCTGTTTGTTAAAAAAGTATTACGGCCTAGTACTTCACACTAATGGGCACCGACTTCCTTTCATTTCTCAGAGGGTTATGGAGCAATTTAGCCACCGCGACGCTCCAGTGCCTATGTATATTGTAAGA